ACTGAATTGTAGTACCTAGATTTTTTTCTACGGTTTTTATAGCTTTGGGTTTTATGTTTAAGTTGTTAATCCATCCTGAGTTAATCTTTGTATGAGGTGTAAGGAAGGGATCCAGTTTCAATTTTCTGCAAATGGCTTGCTAGTTCTCCCAGCACTATATATTAAATAGGGAATTCTTTCACCATTGCTTGTTTTTGTCAGGTTTGTAGAAGATCAGATGGTTGTAGATTGCAGTCTCTATTCTGCTCTATTGTCAGACAAGCTGACTGCCAAATCAAGAATGCAAACTCATTTACAGTAGCTGTAAAAAGAAAAAAAATACCAGAGAATACATCTAACCTAGGAGGTGAAAGATCTCTAAAAGGAAAAGTACAAAAGACTGTTAAAGGAAACTATAGGAAACAAACAAATGAATAAACATTCTATGCTTATGGATTGGAAGAATCAGTATTGTTAAAATGGTCCTACTGCCTGAAGTAATCTATAGATTTAGTGCTATTCCTATCAAACTACCATCCTCATTTTTCACAGAATTAGAAAGAAACCATTCTAAAATTCATATGGAATAAAAAAAGAGCTCAACTGGCCAAAACAATCCTAAATAAAAAGCATAGTGATGGAAGTATCACATTACTCAACTTCAAACCATACAATAAAGCTAGAATAACACAAGCAATATGGTACCAGTTAAAAAAAAAAAAAAAAAAAAAAGAAAACAACCAGACACATAGAGCAATAGAACATAATCAAGAACACAGAGGTAAAGCTGCACACCTACAGCCATCTGATTTAAGACAAAGTTGAAAAAAATAAGCAACAGGGAAAGAACTCCCTTTTCAATAAAAGTTGTGGTTGCTGGCTATTCATATGCAGAAGTGTGAAGCTGGAGCTTTTCTAACACCATATTCAAAAACTAATTGAAAATGGATTAAATATTTAAATAGCACACCTCAAACTATGAGAATCCTAGAAGAAAACCTAAAAAATATCATTCTGAACATCAGCATTGGCAAATATTTTATGACTAACTCCTCAAAAGCAACTGCAAGAAAACCAAAAGTCTGCAAGTGTGACCTAACTAAACTGAAGAGCCTATTCACAGCAAAAGAAACTAACAACAGAGTAAACAGACAACCTACAGAATGGGAGAAATTATTTGCAACTACATAGATTAGTTCATTTTCATGCTGCTGATAAAGACATGCCCAAGACTGGGAAGGAAAATAAATTTAATGGACTTACAATTCCACATGGCTGGGGAGGACTCACAATCATGGTGGAAGGCAAGGAGGAGCAAGTCAAGTCTTATGTGAATGGCAGCAGGCAAAGACAGAGTTTGTGCAAGCGAACTCCTCTTTTTAAAACCATCGGATCTTGTGAGACTTATTCACTATTGTGAGAGCAGCACAAGAAAGACACGACCTGTGATTCAATTACCTCCCACTGGGTCCCTCCTATGACATGGGAGAATTGTGGGAGTTACGATTCAAGAAAAAATTTTGGTAGGGACACACTAAAACCATATCATTCCACCCCTGGCCCCTACCAAATGTCATGTCCTCACATTTCAAAACCAATCATGCCTTCCCAACAGTCCCCCAAAGTCTTAACTCATTTCAGCATTAATTTAAAAGTCCATAGCCCAAAGTCTCATCTGAGACAACTCCCTTCTGCCTATGAGCTTGTAAAATCAAAGCAAGCTTGTTACTTTCTAGATACAATGAGGGTACAGGTATTGGGTAAATACAGCCATTCAAAATGGGAGAAATAGGCCAAAACAAAGGGGTACTACAGGACCCATGCAAGTCCAAAATCCAGTGGGGCAGTCAAATCTTGAAGCTCCAAAGTGATCTCCTTTTAATTCATGTCTCACGTCTAGTTCACACTGATGCAAGACGTGGGTTCCCATGGTTTTGGGCAGCTCTGTCCCTGTGGCTTTGCAGGGAGGGAGAATACAGCCTCCCTCCTGGCTGCTTTCATGGATTGGTGTTGAGTGTCTGTAGCTTTTCTGGGTACACGGTGCAAGCTGTCAGTGGATCTACCATTTTGGGGTCTGGAGGACAGTGGCCTTTCTCTCAAAGCTACACTAGGCAACGCCCCAGTGTGGACTCAGCTGTCGGGGTTCTCACCCCACATTCTCCTTTGCACTGCCCTAGCAGAGATTCTCCATGAGGGCCCTGCCCCTGCAGCAAACTTCTTCCTGGACATCCAGGCATTTCCATACACCTTCTGAAGTCCACACACAGGTTCCCAAACCTCAATCTTTGAGTTTTGTGCACGTACAGGCTCAACACCAAGTGGAAGCTGCCAAGACTTGGGGCTTGCACGCTCTGAAGCCATGGCCCGAGCTGTAACTTGGCCCCTTCTAGTCATGGCTGGATCAGCTGGAACACAGGGCACCAAGACCCTAGGCTGCACACAGCAGAGGAACCCTGGGCCTGGACCATGAAACAATTTTTTTCTTCCTAAGCCTACAGGCATGTGATGGGAGGGGCTGCCACAAAGTTCTCTGACATACCCTGGAGACATTTTCCCATTATCATTGTGATTAGCATTTGGTTCCTCATTACTTATTCAAATTTCTCTGTGGCTGGCTTGAATTTCTCCGCAAAAAATGAGATTTTATTTTCAATAACATTGTCAAGCTGCAAATGTTCTGAACTTTTATGCTCTGTTTCCCTTATAAAACTGAATGCTCTTAACAACACCCAAGTCACCTCTTGAGTGCTTTGCTGCTTAGAAATTTCTTCTGACAAATACCCTAAATCATTTCTCTCAAGTTCAAACTTCCACAAATCTCTAGGGCAGGGGCAATATGCTGCCAGTCTCTTTGCTAAAACATAGCAAGAGTCACCATTGCTCCAGTTCCCAACAAGTTCCTCATCCCATTTGAGACCATCTCAGCCTGAATCTTACTGTTCATATCACTATCAGCATTTTAGGTAAAGCCATTCAACGTGTCTCAAGGAAGCTTCTGACTTTCTCACACTTTCCTATCTTCTTCTGAGCCCTCCAAACTGTTCCAACCTCTGTATGCTACCCAGTTCCAAGTAGCTTCCACATTTTCAGGTATCTTTTCAGCCACACCCCACTCTACTGGTACCAATTTACTATATTAATTCCTTTTCATGCTGCTGATAAAGACATACCTGAGACTGGGAAGAAAAATAAATTTAACAGACTTACAGTTCCACTTAGCTAGGGAAACCTTACAATCATAGCATAAGGCAAGGAGGAGCAAGTCAAGTTTTACATGGATGGCAGCAAGCAAAGAGAGAGTTTATACAGGGGAACTCCCTTTCTTAAAACCATCAGATCTCCTGAGACTTACTAGCTATTGCTAGAACAGCCTAAGAAAGACCCACCCCCATGAGTCAATTACCTCCCACTGGGTCCCTCCCATGGCATGTGTGAATTGTGGGAGTTACAATTCAACATGAAATTTTTGTGGGGACACAGCCAAACCATATCACTATGTATCTGAGAGATATCTAATATTCAGAATCTATAAGGAACTTAGTGAGATTGAGGATTGAATCATACTTCTGTTTGACGTTCTTTGAGAAATTTCCAAACTGCTTTCCACAGTGGTTGAACTAACTGACATTCTCGCCACCAGTGTCCGAGCATACATTTTTCTCTGCGGCCTCACCAGAATCTTTTTTTTTGTTGTTGTTCCACTTTTAAGTAGCCATTCTGACTGATGTCAGATGGTATTTCATTATGGTTTTGATTTGTCTGATGATTAGTGATACTGAACATTTTTTCATATATTTGCCAGTCATAAGTGTCTGTACATGTCCTTTGCCCATTATTTAATGTCATTTTTTGTTTTTCTTGGTTGAATTAAGTTTCTTATTGATTCTGGATATTAAACCCTTGCTGGATGCATGGTTGGTGAGTATTTTCTCCTATACTGTAGGTTGCCTATTTACTCTGTTGGTTGTTTATTTTGCTGTGAAGAATCTCTTTAACTTAATTATGTCCCCCTTGTTGATTTTTTCTTGTTGTAATTGCTTTTGGAGACTTAGTCATAAATTCTTTCCCAAGGCCAAGTACAGAATTTCCTAAAATTTCATTTAGGGTTTTAATTGTTTGAGATCTTGCATTTAAGTATTTAATCCATCTTGAGTTAATTTTTGTACATAGTGAAAGGTAGGGGTCCAGTTTCATTCTTCTGCATATGGCTGGCCTGTTATCCCCCAGCATCATTTATTGAAAATGGAGTCATTTTCCCACTGTCTGTTATTGTAAACTTCATCAAAAATCAGGTGCTTTTAAGTGTGTGACTTTATTTATGGGTTCTCTATCCTGTTTCATTGGCTTATGTGTCTGTTTAGTCAACAGTACCACCATACTGCTGTGGTTACTGTAGTATAGCTTGAAGTTCGGTGGCATGATGCCTTTGGCTTAGAATTGCTTTGGCTATCCGAGCAGTTTTTTGGTTCCATATGAAGTTTAGAAATTTTTTTTCTAATTCCATGAAAAATGAGGTTGGTAGTTTGATAAGAACATTGCTGATTTTGCAGATCGCTTTGGGCAGTTTGGCCATTTTAACAATGGTGATTCTTCCTATATGTGAGCTTGGAATGTTTTACTGTTGTTTGTTTTGTTTCATATTTCTTTCAGCTATGTTTTGTAATTCTTAAGAGATCTTTTGTCTCCTTAATAAGCTGCATTTCTACATATTTTATTCTTTTTGTGGTTATTCCAAATGGGTTTGCATTCTTGATTTGGCGCTCAGCTTGAATGTTGTTATATAAATGCCACTTATTTTTTTGTACATTTATTTTGTATCTTAAAATATTCCAAAGGTTTTGTTTTGTTTTGTTTTGTTTAATCAGTTGTAGGAGCCTTCTGTTGAAGTCTATAGGCCTTCCTATGTATGGAATCATATGGTCCATGACGAGAGATAGTTTGGCTTCCTCCCTTCCTATTTTGAATGCCTGATGGTTCTGTCTAGGACTTCCAGTAGTACGTTGAATAAGAGTGGTGAGAATGAGCATCCTTGTCTTGTTCCAGTTGTCAAGGGGAATGCTTCTAAGTTTTGCCTGCTTAGTGTGATGTTGGCTGTGACTTTGTCATATATGTCTCGTATAGTTTGAACAGGCAGTCAATGAGATAAAACATGATTTTTAGATTTTGTATCATCTGATATCATTAGTCCCTGGATTATATTGAACTTAAATTTGATCAACCTAAATATTGGGATACATATTTATTTTTAAATTCCAGTTCCACAAAGTAATTATATGTACTTAGAAGTTTAAAATCTAAAACAGACAAAGCTGAACTAAACAACAGGGATTTGTGTCTTCATCTTTTTGTATCTCTCAAAATGCTGCAAAACATTAGATGATAAATAGCTGTGGAACTGATATTACTTCACTGTACATTTAATTTGCTTTAAATTTATTACATAAAAGCCCATACTCTAAAAAATAGTAGATTTAAATGGTGTTTTCTTTACAAAAGAAATCTCAAATTGCACTGAGTATCAATTACTTTAGCAAATATGAAAATTACATGAGATTCTATATATTAAAAATTTGTGCAATTTTTTTTCAGTTGTGTGTCAAATTGAGTTTACATATTGTTCTCTTCCAGTGTCTCTGTCACAAATTCATCCATCTTTAAATGATACCACATTAGTCTTCCTAAAGCACAGGTCTAAACATTCACTTTATACCTCAAGTTCCTTTATTGGATTTTCATTACTTAAACATTCTATACCAAGAACACTCCTGGGGAATTCATCATGCTCAGCCATGCATCCCCTACTTACATTTCCAGTCTTCTTTCCCAAGGCTTCTTTTATTCATTCTGTACTCCCATCAAAATAGGCTACTCATTTTACCTAGAACATATCCCAAATTTCCTGCCCTTGTTTTTCCATGCTATTCCACCTACTCTTATATCATTTCCTTTCTTCTGCTGCTGACTTATTATCCATTCTTCAAAAGCTCAAATGTCTTTCACATACTTTTAAACTTGATTCAATTGTTCTCACTATTAATTATCTTAATTAGTCATTTATGCCATTTGCACATTCTACAGTCTACTTTGGTTATATAGATATTTGCATTAGGCTTTCTCATCTTTCTTCAATCTACAGAAGTAGTGGAGAATTTTGCTTACTAAATATTGAGCTCAATAAATATTGCTGAATTTAATTGAGGGTCAGGGATGCTTCTGTGGAATGATTAAACGAATACTATAAGGAAAGAAGTGATGGGCATATTTATCATAAATACCCCTAAATGAAATGGAGAGGAACATACAGCTTGGCTGCAGAGGATGTGGTCATTATGTAAGCTAGGACAGTCACATCCAATTTCAGATACATCCTCAGCTCTTTACCTCGGAAGTATGCATTGCATTGGTCAGAGATCATGTTTCATCCATCTTTAAATTCATTTTCTAGCATATGGAAGGTGTTAGGTAAATACACATTTAATGAATGTATGACATCCTGCTGCAGTATGAGTTCTGTCATCGAGATGTGAGTCAAGATTTTGAACTCGAAAATTAGCACAATAATATCCTCACCTGGAAGCAGTATTATCTGTGTGTCCTTCTCCACTCAAGATCAAAAATGCATGCTAACCATATCATTAAACAATGTTTAAGATTTATCATCATTGGTGGATTCATCTTGGACTTTTCAAAAACATTCAAGCATGCACTAAGAATGAATGACTTTTATTCAGAATTTATGTTATTACTTAAAATGTTTAAAGCCATACCATCCATAGTATTTTGAAAACTAAACTGCCTTCCTTTAAAAAAAAAAAAATTCCACTGGTTGCCTTACTCAAGACATGCAGTCACAACACTGACTCATGATACTTAAGACTTTAGTTACTTAAAAAACAAAATTTGGGAGCTACTTTTTATTTCAGAGTAATGCATTTATTCAAAAATTATTATAAAATACATATGAAAGATTAAGAAAACAATGTTATAATATAATCACTGAAAGATAATAATCATTAGATATTTTGGCACATATATTTCTAGTTATTTTGTGCATATTTGTGTAATTTTATTTTTTTCCCACAAAATCAGAAACGTATCTTAGACCATCTTTTTCACTGAAATTTCCATTTAAAATAGCTTTCAATACAAATAAATACACTTCTATAATATTAATGGCAGAATGCATGTGGTTTATTTATTTTATTGCTTTAGGTAATTAATTATTTGGGCTAAATCTTTGTATAAATGTTTGATTATCTTCTAGGATAAGATCTTGGAAATGAAATGCTGCTTCAAATGTCCCTGTTACTCTACATCCTCACATTTGAGGATTTATTTGTGTCTATGTAAAACTCGATTTCTGTCCAGAAACTCCTTGTCTGGATCATTTCATAACTGGAAGCCTTGGTACCATATCAATTATGACAAATAAAATAATAAAAAGAGGACTCTGTAAATTATGCCAACAGTTCACTTACCTATGAGGGTGAAAGCCACTACTGTTTAAGTAATTGCCAATGTTGTACTTCTTTTCTTTTCTATCAGAATTTGAACTCAACCATTAAAGCTAAGTTGTTTTAGATTTAACAAAGAAAACCTGACTGTATTAGTTTGTTTGTACCAACCAAGTCCTACATATTGAAAAGCTTAAACAACAGAAACTTATTTCCTCACAGTTTTGAAGGCTAGAAGTCCAAGACCAAGGTGTCAGCAATGTTGGTTCCTTCTGAGGGCCTCTCTGCTTAACTTGCAGCTGACAGTCTTTTTCTGTTGTCTTCACTTGGTCCTTCCTTTCTGTCTATGTCTAAATTTCCTCTTCTTATAAGGATGCCCATCCTATTGGTTAGGGCCCACTCTAATGACCGCCTTTAAAATTACCTCTCTAAAGGCCCTATCTTCAACTACAGTCATGTCCTGGTGTAAGGAGGGTTAAGACTTCAATATATGAATTTGGGGAGGATAATTCATTCCATAATACTTAGAATTTTGTATCATCTCTTCTAGTAAGTGAATAGTAATCCTTTTATTATTCTAAAGTATGATGATAAAGGATTTCAGATAGCCACATTTCATCAATCAGTAAAAAAAAAAATCTATTTCCACACTTCATTGATAAGATTCATGAGAGTGGGGACTGGGTCTGTCTTCATCATTATTCCCATTGGCAAATATATTGTCTAAAACAGAATGGGTACATAGCAAACATTTGTGAATTAGATGAATAAATGAAAGGAATATCCATTTACTTAAGAAACTGTGATAATTAGTGCTAGGGAAAAACCAAGGAAGTGTTGTGTCACTTTCAAAGAGTGTGCAATATCAAGGGAAGGATTACAGCATTTGAAGTCAGATAATAAAGCCATATTGCAAATTAAAATGCCCTCAAGGGGTAGGCAAGTAATTTAAATGTGTGAAGCAGCTATGAGTAAGAAAATAAGGAATGATAGGGGCCTTCTATTAACTAGAAAATCAGTATTAATCTTAAAGGTAATCAAATTATACTTTCTTTAAAAATCAGCAATAACAGTGTACTTTTAAATGAAATATGTCTGAGAATTTACTTAGAACCACAATGTGTCAGTTCTTGACTTTTGTTTAGGATATGCAGTTGCATCATTTTACAAATCAACTAAAAACATCATTAAAATCAAATGGCTAATGAATAGCATAGACTGCAATATTTGTGGTATTTGTGGTATCACTGACTAATCTGAGAAAAGACTGTAGAACTAACAGTTCATTTTGTCCTTCAAACCATTGTCAGATGAAAACATAATCTAAGCAGTCTCAAAATGTCTTCACTGGTTTAAAACATGTGAGTAATTCTACATAGAAATCTTTACCAATTTATAGACTATCTTATTAGTTATAAACACTATTATAGTAAACCTCTAAATTGTTTCCCAATTGTGTTATATGTGTCTATGAACCTTTATGGTAGGCTAGTTTTGTTTTTTACCCAGACAATTTTTTAAATGTCTCCATTGTTCTGCAACAGGTTATTATTTCAATTATTTACAGAGATTCTACATGGTTTAAAAAAATCACTTCGGATCAATTCCCATAAACTAATATTATATCTCGCTTTTTCATAGCCTCCATCAATTCCTTCCCTGTTGAGCTATTTGTACGTCTCAGCCAAAGGAGTATATGTATCAGATGTTGAATGAATTCCTCTACCAAAACATATTCTCTCACAAAAGAGAAAGTAAGTGACGAGTACTTTATACTCTACTTTAGGCCCAGCATTTGATTTAACCTAGGGCTATATGTATACATAAATTTTCATGGACACAGTTAATACATTTCCATTTTTATAGCCCTCTCAAATTTTTCAAATAGAAGTGAAGGGCTGTTTAATCCCTTCTCTTTGAGAGATTTAAGAATAGAATATATGTGTATACAGCCTGACTTGCTGGCTCTACAGTTGACTTTTTTTGAATCAGATATTAATTTGGGAAGACAGTTTAATATTTTCAATAAATATTACATGTTGCTGTTTCACACAGGAGGGATTTGTCCTCTCTCAATGAATTTAGTAACCTGAAAGGTTTCAGATGGTAGAACATTCATTTAGATGCAAAATCACAAGGTACAGTCAGAAGCAATGGAAACCTCTCTAATGCTCAGTTGAGGACCCTGCTGAGCTAAAATGCCTCCACACATTTTCCTTCTCATATTTAGGAGAACTGTAAATCGCTGGAAACAGCTACTTCATTTCTGTTCTCTGGCCAGTGCTTGAATCCCAGGAGATATTCCAGGGGGTATGGGTTTGATGGCTTCAGCTCATCCTCCAGAGGACTCTCTATACATACCACAGTTGAACTGACTGCCTTTGTAAGAAGTTTTGAAGCAGCAATAAGATTGCATTATCTCTTCTCCCTGGAGAGAAAGATCCCGTTTGATCAAGTTTACAGCCACCTCAGGGTCGGCAGGGAGCATTTTGCATTATGTCTTGCTGGCTCTTCCCCAGCCTGCAGTGGAGTCCATCTGCTCTCCTGACAGTACTTGTTTAAACTTGAGCAGCAGCATTAAGAAGGGAGGGGTCAGGAAAGGGATGAAGCATAAAGAAATCCAGGTATGAATTGGTGACCAGATGTTTCATTTGGAGGGAGCAATGTCCAATCTATTGTTAGAAATTCCTATTTTTGTGTTGCTTAACTATACTAGTTTTCAGCACCCCAGTATTTTATGTTCTCTCAGGTTTAGGGTTAATAACCATCCTGCTTTAGAAGCACATTTTCAGGACATCAGGTGAGTGAAGAGGTTTTTCCTGCCCTATCAGAGTAGTTTTCTTCCAGGAAAATTCCATCTTTCTATTAAAATAAATTTCACATTAAAAACTAGCATTAAAACATTTTTTAAAGAAAAATACCAGTATTCATTTTATAGTAATCTCTACGAAAGTATGAAACCATTCTATGAAGCACTTACTTTGCCTATGGAAATTTGTTTCATGTACATTTCTAAAGCATTAATAAATCACAACACATACAGTATCATGGACAATTAGCAAAATATTAGCTAATCAATTTTTATTAGTCAAAAAAATACCCTTAAAAATTAACACATATGGCTTTCTTTTCTCCTGGATCTCATCATGTTCTTTTGAGAGATTTTTCCTTTGGTGATTAGCAGAAGATATTTCTCTAGATTCCAAAATGAGGAGTAACATTACTGATGTTAGGAGATCTACTCATGCAAAATGCTGCTGATTGTGCTAGAAAGGACAGTGAACTGAGCGTCAGGGAAATTTATTCTTCTAACCCTGATTCTATCTCCAATTTAATATGTAGGTAGCACTGAATTCACTGCCTTGCACTAAATAAATGCCTGGGACTCATTTTCTTCAACTGTTCACTGAGAGAATCTAGAGAATTGCTAGACTAGGACCTTGCTTTTCAAAGCATAGGCTGCAAAACAGGAGCCTGTCCACAGAGCCCAGAGTCACTGATTCAGAATCTGCATTTTAACAAGTTCTCCCTATTATTCAAATGCATATTAGAGTTTAAGAAGCAGTGTGTCAATTAACTTCAAGGACCTCTTCTTCAACAATCCCTAATGTCATGGAATAAAAATCTCATAGGGTATTTATATTTTGGCAGGGTGTCCCAATTTAGCTCAAAGTAAGATTCATGTTCTTGTTCTTTGCAGAACTGGAATTCAGGTGAACACTTAGGACACCTGTTTTTTCACATGAATTTGCATGTTTGGTGTTTTTGTGTTATGACTGAAGATTGGAGTTACCAGGAGAAAAGATGAGCATGGCAAAGACAATCGAGGGAGTGAGGTGACCTTTATTCTCAGTCTGTCTTCATGAACTAGTTTTAAATTATAAAAGAGAACACATGACCAGAAGTTGAATACCATCATTATAACCCATGATGATTTAGTCTTTGTCAACAATTCAGTGCAGAGATGCCCTCCCCAGTTTCTTCAATAATAGCCAGTAGCAGCATCAGTGGCTACTGTGGAACAGTAGCCAATAACTGCTGTGCCCAGAAGACTATCAGGGAGTCATGGTCATGGAGTGTACCAATGAGTGTGGTACTAGCAATGAGCCTTCCTATGATAGCCTTTGATTATTGCACTGAACAGATATTACTAGAACAGAAAAAAATGCATGAACTGCTTTGGGAGCACACATACACCCTTGGGATGCCTAGAAATAACTGCCCTACAGTGGAGCTCTAAGAGTGAATCCATCGTTCCCTTCATACCTGAAAATATTTCAGTGAATGAAACTTTCATCCAACAAATTGTTCAAACCAAGAACTAGGAATAATCTTTGACTTCTCTTCTCCACCATTTCCATATGTAATCAATGACCATATCTGATCATTTAAAACTCTTAAATACTCTACCTTTATCAGGTTCTCTCTAATTCCATTACTTTCCCGCTTCAGGGTAATATCATGTATCAGGAACAAGCTTACAAGTGGCCACCTTGAAAATGATTTTGCTTCCCTTAATCCATTTGTCATCATATCTTGTCCCTGAATAACTCCCTAGTTCTATCTTCTTCCATTCCCTTACAATGTATATGATACTTATGTGTATTAATTTTACTTTTAAATGTATTATACTTGTGTTTTAACTTTGAATCTTTCTACATGTTTTCCCCAGCTTGATGGGTTATTCCTCCTACATTTGAGCCAAGTATTCCTCATTCTTCAAGTCTTAACTTAGATGGAGTTTAAATAAACTATGTACTTTGGACTCTACTAGGTAATTTTGACTCTCCATAACTTATGGAGCATAGAACAGGTAGAGGCTGTCTCTTCTCAGAGATCAGAAAGAGCCCCCTAAAGATTTTCTGGGACCTTAATTAGCACTCCCATTTTTAACAATAAAATCACTAATGGATTTTAAAGTAGACACCATCCTTTCAGGACTTTAATAAGTTGATGATATCTTTCCTTGATAGTACGATTCCTTAATAGAATAATCTCCAGTCACTTTTGTTCTGTTAAACATACGAAAGATAAGCTACAACTAATTATAAGAAAATCTGAATGACGAAAAAGATGGGCTTGACTACGATTTCTAGTCAATCAGATTCCCTGCGTTAATTGTTTATGCATGACTTTGAACATACAATAACATTTTAAACAACCAGTTAAGGGTTATTGGAATGGCTTTGTTTAATGTTTCTGGCTCTTCATAAACAGCTATGCTACACAGAAAGGTCACAGAGAGTTTCAGCAGCCCTCTTCTCCAAACTCATCCTCTTTACCTCTCAGTACATAAACAAGACCAGTGGCTTAGTAGGCTTTTCTCTCCCTCATATTGGACATAATTTCAAAAGAGAGGCTTTTAACCCACGGAACTAGGACTCTGACTGCGCTCTGATTTTCCTTCACGTGGATTGCATGTAACTAATTATCTCTGATATTATTCTTGTGGTATTGTACATAGATTATCTTTTGAGAGCCAAAATACCAAAATTCAAGTAAAGTAATCGAAGAGAACTGAAATTCTCATATTTTCCCCCTGAAAGAAAATTTTTGTTATTTTTGCTTATTTGGGGAGCCATATTATACTACGTGGTAGGCAGTTAATTTTCTATAAAAAAGACTCAAAGTCCTACATATGTCCTCTCCCTTCGTAGTCCCACAATTTACATTAAAGACAGACAGAAACAGTGAAATTCAGAGTATGTCATCTGTGCCTTTTTTTCTTTCTCTTTTTCTTTTCTTGGTGGTGGTGGTAGAAGAGGGTCCTTATTGACTACCAGGTGCATTTTTACCATAAATGGATTTCATTTCAAACTACTCTAACGTTCACACAGTTTTCAATGCACAGAGAAATCTGAAGCCAAGTGAGCTCTTCTTGGTTCCTCTTTTTCCTAGTGAACATTTTACGTAGCTATTATGAGATGGTGTCTTCAGAAATTCCTCTCTCTGAGATTCCTTTTACTGAATATAATATCCCTCCCCTACTTGGAAATGTGAGCAGGCCTATATATTTCCCATTTCTTGACTGTTCTGGCAATTTTCCCTGAGAAGGAGGAAAAACCCTATAAAATTTCTTTTGGTCCCCAAAGCAGAAACATCTGCTGGAGTCGTGAGTAGCTTGTTGGCGCTGCTGCTCAGCTCCAGCCTGGAGTTGATTATCTCTCCTGCTTTACCAGTGTTCGTGTAGCCAGTAAGGAACACACTGGAAGTTTCTGGGAAGACTCATTATAAATAATGGGAGCATGGAAGAGAAGAAAGAGGGAAAATGTTCAAGCTACTTTGGCCGATGCATTTTATGAGTTTCACAAACTAAAATCATTAGACCACCAAACTGCTTGATAAGAAATCAAGACCTTAAAAAAAAAAAAAAAAAAAAAAAATCAGGACATTGTTTTCTGTAAATACAGCTGCTTGGCAAAAGCAAATAAAAAGAGTGACAAATTGTTGGTTGAAGTTTATTTTCCTACCAGAAAAAAAACAAAAAGTTATTTTAAGTAACAGTCTGGGGAAAGAATTGGTTGCTTACCTTACCTCTCTGAAAGTTGCCAATTGCCTGTTACCTCACTGTGGAGTTGGCAGTGAGTAGCATTTCCTGCGTTGAGTGCACAGGCATTTTTATTCTTTGAAACAGTTTAACAGGTGCAAGTCAGGTCCTGTTAGAAATGCTTATATATGGCAATGTACTGAACTCTTTCCTAAATTAATTCACTTCACCCAATGCACAAGATTACGTGGCAAGATTTTTGGTGTG